TTCTACTCTCTGCAGATTTCATCTAGCTCCAGACTCCCTTGCTTCCCACTTTGTTCATACCTTCTGAATCTGTTGTGTCCAACATTTAGGGAGGCAGCGTTATCTTGCTGCTGATTAGCTGTGCATCACAGTTCTGGCTTCCTAATGCTGGTTCAGTTCGGTGAAAAGCCTCCTAAATTTCAATTTCTCCGCCTTGTCAGCTGTCTTGCGGTCAGCTGTCCAATGAGGTCTGATCCAACTCTGGATGGACGGCCAATAGAAAGACGTCGTTCACGCAGCAAAGCTGCAACATGGATGTTTATTCGTCGATTGAGTAAATGGTGTCAAAATCGCTCTCTGTACTGTTTGGTATAGCTACTAAGATGTTTTTGAGTTTTGAGGTGTAAAGTGTTCCAAATAATGAGAACTTGCTCTTCTGTGTCTCAACTCCGGCTGTCTCTTAGCTCTCCCATCAGAATTCTTCCTGTTTCTCCAAACTGAGAGCACTCTGACCTGTGTGGCAGTTCTTTTTGTTGGGTTAGAAAAAGAAAATGTACTCCATTTTTGGATGATTTCTATATAAGAAATATGGCTACAGACCAGTTTTTAATTTACTTTTTAAAACATTTAGACTTTTTTTTTTTTTTTTTTTACAGTATCCTCTCTAAGACATCTGTAAAGAAAAGTGACCATTTGAAGTTATACTTTGAATAGATAGAACCATAAGGATACATGTGAAAACAGACGAAAGCCAGGATCTAAAATGTTTGAAATGCCGTGCTTGTGTACGTGCGTAAGTGCGTGCATGTGTGCGTGCATGTGAGTGGGTTGCCATAATACCTACACCAGCAGACCGCAGAGCCAGATGTTGCGCAGGTGGAAACGAGAGAACAGCTCCTGTCAAAGTGTCCAAGAGGCTCTGCAACTCCTCCAGCTCACTCTCTCCCTGTCAGACTGTCTCTGCTGCTCCTCTTTTCACCAAAGCCCAGACAGTCTCTTTCCTCTTTTTCCTCCATGTTTGTCGTTCTGCTTCTTCACCGTCCTCTGTGTGACATCTGACCTTTTTTTAAAAAAATGTATTCATGCGGTTTAGCCAAAGTTATGTGTAATTCAAACAGCTTATTTTGTTGCCTCTCAATCGGATTTTCTTTGTCATTCTATTTCCCCACCTTCTATTTCTATTACTTGTCTTTTTTTCTTTTTCGCCTCTCCTCTCGCGTTCATCCCCTTCTTTCGGTTTGTGTTTCCCAGACCAGATTAAATCCCCCACCGTGTTTGGGTGAGGTTTCTCTTGAACAGCAAGGTTTCTACGGCTGATCTGGTCGCCTAGGTGAACACCCATGAGAGACAAAATTGCAAGCTGATCCACTCAGTCACTGTCATTTCGTGCGTTTGGGAATATTTTCATCAGCGGAACACAGACCGACCCCGTAAAATCCGCAGAATGATGAGGCTCTTTCCGGCAGGGCTGGCCGTGTGTTGCCTGTGCGATCACAGGCACTCTTCCTCCCATCTTTGGAATCACTTTGAACGCATTCCTCATTGGATCATCCAAATGTAAATCCCTTCTCCCTTTTGTGTGTTCCTGTCTCAAAGCTCACGTCACGGTGGATTAGCACAGAGGTAATGCGCCCTGCATGCATTGTGCGAAGGCTTCCTTTTGATATTCAGTGCAAAACCTCAGCGGATTTCGATTGAATTTCAAGCTGAGAAGGTGGAGAGGCAGCTGGAATGCTACTTGGCGGCTAGCGCCGGCGCTCCCAGGCTGCACCGCACAGGGTCACGGTGATAAAAAAGCGCCATAATGTGAGACGCGAGACTGCATCTGGCTCCATATTTCATAGGTTTAATTGTTGGCCTTCACCAGGATGCTGCTCGGAACGACTCCCCTTTCTGAGATTAAAAGATTGACTGATTGATGAACAGGCTGGTGAGTTGTTGAGAGAGCAAAGGGGCGCCTGGAGATTTTTTGCTTGGATGTGTGGAAAATAAAGTCAAAAGAAGTGCTTTCTGTAAATTTCATTAAAGCCTAATGAGATCAGTGCAAGCGTTTTTTTTTATCTCCGTCAAAATCTTTTTCTCCTGAAACAGTCTTTTTTTTTCTTTCTTGTTTGTTTGGGTTTACTCCTTTGAGTTTAGTACATTTTGTCGAATGTGCCAGGAAATACAAAGTAGAAGTGGCCAACTGGCAGTTTGACACTCTTGCCTTTTCCATTTAGCTTCTTACTGAAAGGATCCCGTCTATAATGAGTAATTGCCAGTTTGTGTTCATGTAAAACTTGACCTTTAACTTGGGAGGGAGATGGATTATCACAAGATTAAAAAAAAGCTTTCATTCAAATGACTGTGCCTTTTCCAAGATCCAAGCTGTTTGTCACAAAAACACAAATTTCCATCCTGTGCTCGGAGCTTTCAGGTCTCTTTTTTCTTTTAAGGAGCAACAACAGTCAAAACCAGCTATTTAATGACTCGTTTTGCTTGAAGTTTATTTATGTGACAGGCTGAAAGGGAAAGTTTTGGTTTGCTGAGGTGTGGTTGTGTGAAGCTCTGTGCCTAATCTGCAGTGTCATCAATCAGAGCTCTCTGTTTCGGAGGGGCAGGGAGGAGTTCTCATGGCGGATTTGGGCTGACGGCCACTGAGAGGAGGTGCAAAAGAAGAGCACATTTTTTGCCATCTAAAAAAACACAAAGAGGAAAGCGCGTAGGGGATTTAATGAGCGCTATATCCTGGATTTAAACTATCCCTATTATACCTTTGTCTGTGATAAATAGATTTTTTTGTGTTTTTTTGTTTTTATTTTAAACTATCTTGGCCTCTGGGTTACTTGTATTACCCCTGGTAACTTTAAAGTGGCTTGCTCTCTTTTAAAAAAAAACTTGTGAGTATAAATAAGGCTTTTTACTAAGCAAGTCTTAAAAAGCCTACAAAAACTGAAGCGAAATGACGCTCGTCCTGTTGTCTAGCAGTCGTGCACGCGTCTCATATTATTTAAAAACGATCGCGACAAACACAGAAAATGAACGGTGCGCCTAAACTCCCCCTGACCCTCTCACTCGTCCACAGTTTATCAAAGAATTTTTCTTCCCAGAAAGTGGCTAGATGGGGAATATAAGATTTCGCTCTGTTTGTTCTCCAGCCCAGGGGTGCACAGGCGGTGTTGAAAAGTCATTTCGAGTGCCGTGACCTCTTGTACGAGGCCTCCGCACACGGACACACACACAAGCCCCGCCGATCTGTCTACCCGTCAACACGGGAGCAGCCCTGTTATCACACGCAGGGACCGCGGCCTGTGTGTACGTGCGTTTCCGTGTGTGTGTGTGCGTGTGGGGGCAGCCTGTGGAACAATATGATGAAATGATCACTGTCACATGTGATAGAAATCTCAGCGATGCTGATGTGAAAAACATCTCAATCGCAATTGGTGGTTTCCTTCGCTCCGGTGGAAAAGTGTTTGCAGCACAGAGAGGCAGTCGTTTTTCTCAGACATAAACGGAGATGCCTCATTGATTCTGATCTGTTTGGACCCAGTCACAGCGACTCTTTAGCTTGTCAGGAGAAAAACAGCAAAGTCAGAGCGACATGTTATTCCCCTCCCGAGCCCTCTTCTCAGTCGGTTTTTGCGTCTATGGGAGTTGGAAACGTCACATTGCAGCTCTGATCTTCCTGGGTGTGGGTCCGAGGTGGGGCCGCCACTTCTAGGAGAGCCTGATTGGTCCCAGTGTTCTCACATCAGCACGCTTTTCTCCACCGCTCTGACTCTGGGAACAAAATGTGTCATTGGTGCGCTGAGGGCGGGTCCAAAAATAATAAAAGCGACCAGAAAGCCTAACAAACCTGGCTCAGACACAAGTCCAAAGTTTTGGCTAACATTTTGGCTGGAAAATGATCTGAAAGTTCAACGTGTTTGAAAAAAAGTAGAGCTGTGACCTTTATTCAGTAAAATCACAAATGTCTCAATAAATACGCTGAGCATTCAGTCTGGGCTGGACACGTTTAGTTTCTCTTAGCCAGCTTTTCACAGCCTTTCACAAAAGGGGAGCTATCTTTATCGAATATTGAAGCAGTGTCAGTTTCTTTTGAATTAGACACTTTTTTAAAATCCATTTTACATCTCATGTCTTTACAGAGTGTGTCTTTATTTTGTTCCTCAGGTGAAAAACTGAGATGACAGAATACATCCCGTTCTGGTTCCCAAAAGTCGATAAACATCCATCAGAAGATGCAGAGTTTTTTTTTTTTTAAACTAAGGTTTGGCTCTTTAGCTGAATTAGCCTCATGCTTAACATTTACAGGTGTTTTTTGTAAAACATCTGAATGCATGCAACACATAATTTTTTTATTCACATCCGCTTCTCACTGTGTGTGTGTGTGTGTGTGTGTGTGTGTGTGTGTGTGTGTGTGTGTGTGTGTCTGTGTGTGTGTGTGTGTTGGAGCTCTATGGGGCCCTTTGCTGTGGGAGAGAAACCTCCAGCGGAGACAGGAACCATTTCACCAGAGCACACATTATCATTATGGTGCATATTGCTCTTAAAACATAGGAGGGATGGCATTTGTTGGTTTTTGTCATTGCCTGCTGTCAGAAGTGGTCGCCGCGCGTCTCTAAGTTTGCTGCTGCTTAAAAAAAAAATCATAGGTTCTTGCTTCAGGCCGGACGATAACAGGGATTTATTTTGGGAACGTGAAAGCCACCAAACCTATTAGACTATACGTAGAAATCACATGTTTTCCATGCTTGAAAGCCTTCCGTGGTCAGCACCAGCGCAGTGTCTGTGAAAAAGATATCCGCTCATCATTCACTACTGTATATTTACATCAAAATCGCTTTCGTAAATATAGTCTGGCCCCGCGTGAAGACGATGGATGGTAAGTTTGAGCGAAGCTGGCAAAAGAAAGCTGCGTCAAAACAGGAGGGGAAGACATTTGCTGGTGCACAAACCGAATCGAAAACCCCCGATGGGAGCCAGATCCTCACCTTCCTCGTGTGTGTGTCTGTGTGTTTGTGTGTGTTTCCGTCAAACAGTGGAGAACGACAGAGAGCTCTCACCGCGCCGGCGCCACCACAAGGAGTTCAGGTTCAATCTCTCCCAGATCCCGGAGGGCGAGGCCATCACCGCCGCCGAGTTCCGCCTCTACAAGGAGTGCGTGAGCCGAGCGTTCCGCAACGACACCTTCCTGCTCAAAGTCTACCAGGTGGTCAAGGAGCATCCTGACAGGTAACTCATGATCCCGCACACACTTGGCTTTCTCTTCTGTCTCCAACCAGTTATTGCTTAATACGCTGTTTCCTATTTAAATGATGCCTTTGCCATCTTGAATCTGCGGATGAAGCTTACATTCTCATCTCAATAAACTGGTGTCTGTATGAAAAACCAACCATGGTTACGCCCTCGCATGTTGGCAATTCACACTATTTCGTTTGATCCCTCTTAGAAGTTGAAAAAACTTCTGAAGGAAAATAGCGATGTTTGGGGTAATGTAGCTTGATAACGATCTTTAAAGAGATTTTAAGCAGCACACAATAGAAAGTCCAAAATTCACGTGGGGTTCCCATGCCCCCCCCCACCTTCCATTTAACAAAAACTGACTGCTTTTCTGGCTCCGAGCCGTAATGATAGAGTGCTTAAGTAGCTTGACACCCTTTGTACTTCCCATTCGATTGGATTGGTTTCTCTAACAGCAGGCGAGGAATGTGAGGGATCACAATGCCAAAAATGTAGCGAGCCTGACATGAGAAAAGGCAGGCTGCTGCGAAGGCCGGCACCTCAGCACCGATCTAAAAGTATTTAGCCACCCCGGCTTCCTTTGTATTGTCTTAAGCCTCCGTTGAGTCGGGCTTTCCTGTAATCTCTTCAAATGGATGTCAGCATTGTTGACCCTTGTTTAAACCGAACATAAAAGTAATTGAAGCTATTAAAAGAGCACCTGTCTTAAGGTATGAACCAAGGTATGAGCTAATGGAAAATATTATCTATAATGATAATATCATCTATAAGAAAGGCCAGGTATAACGTAACGGGCCTTAAAAAACTATTCACAGCAGACGAACAGTATCTGAGAGGGATATCCTTAAAAAAGAGGGGGACAAAGATCCACAAAAGACTCGACACAGGATATGAGGGATGCATCTGGCCCTTTGGTTGATCCATCCACTGCTGGCTGAAGCCTCAACAGAAATAGTCCCCATGGCTGTCAAGACGCCATTCTTAAGGAAATTAAATGGGAAGAAAAAGCAGGGATATGCCAAATGACACAAGAACTGGACTAAAAATCAGTAGCAGCATGGTCGTGTGGCGGGATGAATCCTCCCCAGAGCTCGGACTTCATCGTTTTTAAAGCTGCACAGGATCACCGAAATGGGCACCAAACACAGAGGTTGACTCAAGCTGATATGGAATATACAGGCTCTGTTTTTTGCCTCATATAGTGTATAGTGTCCCCTCGTGGGGTCTTTAAAATTGCGCTTTTTCAACAAGTCACCGTTCCCATTTCCAGCTTTCTTAACAGCAAAGGAAGAAATGAGGTGTGGTTAAAGACTTTGGAACAGTGTTGTAACTTGAAGGGTTTGTAAAACTCGTGCATATTTTGCCTGTTAAAGTCCAGAAGAAGTAGTTATTTACTGACGTAGAACTTTTGTGTCCCCCTCCCTCAAGAAGTCTGACACTGATTAACATCCTGCTCCACCTTTTGGTAGAGCACATTTTCCACTAGAAACATTATATCTATATGAAATATTACGTTATACTTGGTCATAGGATACACTAGAGGAAGTGCACTTAGCTAAACTAGCCTTAGAATTAAGTTTAGGTATGTAATACCTAAATTAAGCATGAGTTATGACATTTTTTTATTTATTTCACACTTTTAACAGAATGTGTCACCCCAAATATCTGTGAAAAAAGCATCCATCCTGCTTTTCGTCGGTCCAAAGAAATGAAAAAAATAATAAAAATTCATAAATAATTTATAAAATGATCAAATTCCCGTCCTCTTTCTCTAAATGCAGCTGTTAAATATTTTTCAATATTCTAAACGTGAACGTGCTAAACAGGCGAGCTGTGAGGAAACTCTGCCATCCTGTAAAAGTCTTAAAAACGTTACGGTACAAAAAGACTTCCTTTAACCCCTGACCTTATCGTTCCGCTCCATTTAAGCAGCCAGTCAGAGGGAGCTTTTACAGTGCGCTCTCAGGTGGTTCTGTAATGGACTCCTCGGCGTGCGGGCTCGGCCGTAACACATCCAGCCGCACACTTGGACGTCCGCGAGCGCTTCTTAGCCGAAACAGGCTCACAGATCCTCGCTCAGAAGCCGTCACAAACAGTCATTAATGACCAATAAAGAGGGGCCACAGAGGCATGACTGCGGGGGCATTCTGCAAACACCTGGACGATTGCGGGGCTTTGATGTCGGTTCTGGAGGGCCTGCTGTTGTGTTATTACAACTGTAACGTGACAGCAGGAGGACGGGCCCTCTTATCACCCCAACGCTGCCTTTTCCTTACATCTTCCCCGGCCTCTCTTCTCATTAAACTGCTGCACGTCTTCGCCCCGTTAGACGCGTTCCTTCGTTTCTCAGGCCCGCCTCGTTCTCACAAAATACTGTAAATGATACTAACATGCACGCCGCTTCGTGCCAGACTTTTACTTCCTTCCTCGGAGAGGTTGACTTTAAGGTCAGGCCTACAGTGAAGTAAAATACAGTCCATCCCAGCCTGTTCTCATAATGGCAGCTATTCATCTTCCTGTCGTTTTGTGACATGATACTGTTGCCCCGCTTCAAACCATGAGCCTCTGCTTCCTCTGGTCTGTCAAAGAGGGAGACCGATCATTTCAGCCGTCCCCAGACCTCAGTTGCTGTGTATTCCACTTGTACGGTCAACAGCTGTTGAAAAAACAAAGCGTTGTACAACGTGTACAACTATGTAAAGTGCGGTGTACAATTTTAAAGAGATTTGCTGGAGACCAGGTTGGATATTCATACAAGGCACATTTTCTGTTCTTTTGTTAGCTTTTTGACAAAACACAGCATTTAATTTGTTGTTCCATTCTTTTCATTTTAGTATGTTTTAGGTCTTATCATTTGTTTAACTTAGAATGGCTCAATAAATAATCAAGTCATACATTTCGGTGTTCAGAAATTGAATTTTGCTCTTCCTAACACCTCATAAGGAAGTGAAAAACCGAACTTGATTGAACTCAGCATAACCCTTCAGGGTTCGTGTTAATGGGGTTATTTGTGTAGTATAGAAGATGTCTGACCGTATCTTTTATTCTTTTCTTTGCCTTGTTCCATCAGAGAGGCGGATCTCTTCATGTTGGAGTCTCGCAGGCTGTGGGCGGCCGAGGAGGGCTGGCTGGAGTTCGACATCACCGCGACCAGCAACTTGTGGGTAATGAGTCCGGGACACAACCTGGGCCTGCAGGTCAGCGTGGAGACCAGCAGCGGTACGGCATTTCCTTGTGACTGATCCTAACTGGCACTGACAACAACACACGTGACATCCTCCTGTTCAGATCAACGAAAATATTCAATTCAATTCAATTACATTTTATCTAAACAGCACCAAATCACAACAACAGTCATCTCAAAGCGCTTTTCAAACAGAGCAGGTCAGACCCTACTCTGGAGTTATTTACAGAGGCCCAACAATTCCCCCCAAGAGCAAGCACTAGGCGACACAGGCAAGGAAAAACTTCCTTTTAAAAGGCAGAAACCTCGAGCAGAACCGTGGCTCAGGGTGGGCGGCTATCTGCTTCAGCCGGTTGAGGGTGAGAGTGAGAGAGGGCAAGAGAGAGAGAGGGAGAGAAGGACAGAGAGAGGCAGCCTACACAGTAACACAGATTGGATGAAAAATGGCAAAGATATTGATAGTAGTAGATGTTCCATTGCTGAGTGTTGGCTTTCTCCACACAGGGCAGAGCATCAGCTACAGGGAGGCGGGCCTCGTGGGTCGGGACGGCGCGTTGGAGAAGCAGCCCTTCATGGTGGCGTTCTTTAAAGTCAGCGAGGTGCACATCCGCTCCACCCGCTCCACCGGCGGGAAACGTCGGCAGCAGAATCGCAACCGATCCACGCAGCCGCAGGAGGGATCCAGAGGGCCCAGCCCCGCAGGTCAGTCCACGCGGACAGCAAACCTCCACTGGCCTCATCCCTTTCTCACTCACACGTACGCACACACAAACCCGACCGCTGCGTAACCTCCCCGCATCCATAACCTGTTGAGATCAGCCGATGTGCAGCATCTGCTCGAAGTCTGTCAGCATTGATTCGCTCAGAGAGGGTTGAGGAATTGGACCTGAGTTTCGCTGCAGCTCCCTCTAATCAGTCAATTTTGATAGAAGTTGACTGACCTATTTGATAGAATTGTAGAGGTTCTGTCCAAAATTTGATTAGAAAGCAGCTTCTCAGTGGATATATATATATAGTAGCATATAGTAGCATAGTATGGAATTGTTTTTTCCAAAAAGAACTTTGAAGTTAACTCTAAGAGGAATGACGTGTGACCATAAGTATGTAAAATAAGTTGTTTTTTTTTTTTAAAGAATGGCAGCAATACACATAAAATATTTTTTCCCACAGTTATTGCACATATTCATGGATTTAGAATAAACTTTTACTGATAGTCGTGTAACCTCAGTCCAGCTCTCCTCTCTGCTTTCTTCGAGGATGATATAATAGGCCAGTGTAATCTGGTTGTTATGAGCTCCATGTGCCTCTCAAATGAAATCAAAACCTAATCCACCCACCTTTGACCTGCTGGCCGTCCGTAGTGCTTAAAGCTGAGCTGCTCCTGTGAGACTCCATTGTGTGACTGAAGCCTTGTGAGACTTGTGAGCCCGCGGGTCATTTTGTTTTTCGCCCCCAGGCTAATTTAACAGATATCGCAGCATGCTACTTGTCGGCCTCAGCATCACAGGAATGCGCGTCACCACGGGGCCAGCGTGCTGCAGTGAAGCCCGGGAGTACCTCTGGATATGCCAAGTGCTGGGAATACCGAGTGTGTTTCATAGTTATCTCAAACTTGCCTCAGTGGCAGCTTTGTCATAGGTCTTATCATCTGTAGTGCAAGTGGAAATCAGGTTTAGATATGTGCTTCTCGACATACTGTCCAAATATTGGGCAGAACCGTCTCCTTCTCAGCTTCTTAGTGCCAGAACACAGCTTAGTGCAAATGGTCTCCCTTGGCCGGCAACCTGGGAAGCGATTTACCTCCACTTTGCCTCAAGTGCTGCGTTTAATGGCTCTTCCATCTGCACGGTATGCACTCCGGCTCTTTGCAAACAGTTGTTTTGGCTTATTTTCTATTTGTTCTGTGCATCTTTGGTGCTTCTTTGTAAGCTGTGCTTCACTGCTACGAAAACAAAATGTTTCAAATGTCAAGTCCTGCCCCCCCCAACCCCTTAGTAATTGAATTAGATTAAAGCTTTGGCCGACGGCGCGCAGGACAAAGACTCATCATTTGTTATGTTACGGCGCAGTTAGTTTACCTCCAGTTCAGCTCTGGCTTTAGATCTGTACTCCACTTCCCCAGCTGTCACCTTTGGCCCGAGCTGTCTGTGGACTTCAAGACAAAGTAATAACAGTCTGTTCCTCAGCTATTTGAAAAGCAAACTGACAAAGTAGATAGTCTCCGTCTACTTCTGTGTCCCCCCGCTTGTGTCGTCTGAGGCTTCGAGAGGCCTCGGTCAGAGAGAGAGAGAGAATCTGTTCAGAGATCAGCTCCAACAACGCCAATCTGTTAAATATGCACTTTACATAACCCAAAACATCAAGACCTCTCCGCCTCACCACTCGGGACCACTGGGAGTGTAAATATTTAGATCTCGCACAGGAAGCGGGGAGGCCCCCCTCGCGACAGCCGTGTGTCTGCGGCCAGAAGAAGACGGCTGGGATTGGACGGGATGGGAGGATCCGCCAGGAATTCAAGAGGGCATATGTTTTCAATACCGCATCACTCACTCCAGAGACCGGGAGGAGGCCGCGATTGATGGGGAGAGCATCCATCTTGTGAAGCGCTCACGAGGAGAAAGGAAATGTGGATGCTGTCCCCCCCCCCCATCCAAGTCTCTGTTTGGCCCAGAGCTGAAGCGCATAGGCTTGGGCCACTGACCATTCAGGGAAAAGGGATATTTTGACGTGGGGGGAGTCACCCTGATACCTTTTTTCTGAATAAGTTTGGATCTCAGGCCGGAATGCCGCGTGGTGTTTGTTTTAATTGGTAATGTGTGCACCAGCTTGCACACAGAGGCTTTTAGGAACGTTCTTCGGTATGAGTTGATTTATGCCCAAACTGCAACCTGCGAGCTTCATCAGTCCAGTTTGATTCTCTCCACATGTAGATTTCGGCCATTTTCGCGGGCTGCTGTTTTTTGTCAAATTTCCATTTAGATGTTAGAATTTCTGTCCCCGTAATTCCTGCAAGGCTCATTTCCTCATACGCACTATTTTGAAACGACGTGCGATATCGAATATCTTCCAGATGATAAAAGAAGTCAACCCCGGCCCAATGAATAAATCACAATTAACCAGTCCTGCTGTGTGGGTAATAAATCAACCATGTTTTTCATTTATTTCCTCTCAAAAGCACACCGCTAACAGTCCAGATGATTTCTGCGTGGTCCTGTTTGCTTGTTTTGAGGGCAACTGGTCCCCCTCTTATATTTTGGAGCAGTGTGGAGGAGGCCTGCCCGTTCCTGTGATATTTCCACCCACCCACTGGGTGTGCCCGACGTTTGCACGGTGAAAAAAAACACACAGAAAAAAAGCCCTTGTATATCTCAGAAACAGAACAATACAACACCTTTAAAGGTAATTTGGGGTTTAGTGGGCGAGGAGGGCCGAGGAGGTAATGGGAGTCGGGTTGGGCTTTTGGCTGTGGGGGAGGTTAACAGCCATCTGGGGAAGGAATACTGCGTCCCGGCTCAGCGGCAGCGGCCTGTAATTAGGTCTAGCCATTCATTAGCTGCACAGCTAAAAGACTGACCAAGCTAACAGTATCGCTCAAAGAATTATAATAACACGGCGCTCGGCCAGCTGTGTTTTTTCATCTGTCGCTGCTCTCCTCCCTCCCTCCTCATTCTCCTCGCCCCCTCCGCCCGACCTCCTTTTGTTTACCGTTGGAGTAATTAGACATGGCGGAGCTCCCTCGCAGGGTTTAATAACCTCTGTGATGAAAGACAGGAAGAAAGATAAACTTCAGTAGTCGTGGTTGGAGGGGAAGGGAAAAAAAAGAGGTGAAACCTCAGAGACAGGAGTGACGTTTTCCTTTCATGTCTTCGCGGCTGTTGGGACGCTCTCCTTCCTTCTTCGGGGTTCAGGAAGACCATCGCGCCTACAGAAACCGGCTCCTCCATCCGGCCTGTGGGAGCTGGTGTAATTTCAGCCCTTTGGCCTTCTCGAACTGAGACTTTGCCGGGGTGATCCGCGGAGTCCAGTGCCTGGATTGAAATAACTTTTTTTTATGTCACCAGACCAGTGGCTCCGTTTAATTCTCGTATTTTCGGAACACGCGCTAAACATAATTTACGGCTTTTTCCCTCTCGTGGAGGGGGCCGCCGAGAGTGTTCCGTGTGTTTTAATGAATGGCAGGTAGTGTAGAGAAAGGTTAATATCAGGGTAGAGCTCCCCCGACACGTCGAAGGTCCCACTGTTTCAAGCCAGAGTGCTTGTGTTCAGCGAGGAGCAGCGTTTTTCCCCCTGCTGTTGAATAGGAGGGCCGAGAACCAGCAGCCGCCGCCCCACCTCACTCAATTCAATGCGAATTAGTGTTTATTACAGAGTCCTCGCGTCACGAGGCCAAATGGGATGTTTGTCTACTCAGATAAACATCTCCAGGTCAAACGCTGTTAGATAAGCTGTTGTAATATACCAGCAGAGCTTTATGAAACCGTTTGCCTTCGCATTAGCCTTTTATTAAAGGAAATCCTGCTTTTTTAATTTTCTTTCTGTGGTATTTTCAAATATTTAGTCCTAGAGTTCATGAGTTTTGATATCTTAAAGTCTCCACGTAATAGAAAATATCCACAAACACAGTTTTCCTTGATTCCTGACTGCCATCTTAAATCGTTTTTCCCTATTAAACTGAATCGCCTCCTCGCCCAGAGAATGCGTGTCAGCTGCTGGTAGTTAGTGTGGAGCTCAGAATGCTGACCGGTCCGTGTTGAGACACGCAAACCGCCCCCAGAAACAGCTACGATTCAAGAAACACGGAAGGAACATGGGAAAGGAGAACCTCAGTGTGTTACTTGTCACCCTACATAATTAAACCACCGCTTCTAAATCCAAAAAGGGAGTCCAAAATATTGAAACCTGTACCTGGAATGATATACTATCAAATGTAGAGTCCATTTCCCATGCCACCACAGCTCTCTGTCAGGGAGAGGAAAAAGAAATGAATGGAAGCCTCATGGGAGCCAGAGCTCAGCAGTAGCTGTGTGGCATTAAATTTTTACTGGCAGGAAGGGGAGATGTGGTTTATGGGCACCACAAATCTGGGCCTTTACACTCAATGAAAGCCCACAGTAAATATCAGCTTTATTCCTCTTAAAGAGCCCCACAGACTGTAAATGCTTATGGCTTTGAAGGCCGAGAGGTGCAAGGAAAATGTGGAGATGTGTGAGAAGGCGAGGTAAAGGAGTGGTGTGGCGTGCGCTGTGCAGGGCGCCACGGTTTTAGCTTAAGGCTGAATACGTGTTCCTGAAGGTTTTCAGGACCGGGAATCAAGGTACACGGGGCATTTACGTGTAATCTGCTCTCGTTTTTAAAAAATATTTGTCGAGGTTCATAGTTCGGACGGTCGTTTCTGTCCTTGAACACAAGTCGCGTGACGTTACAGAGCTGAGAACCATTAGAATATAGCATAAAGCTCCTTTAATAATGAGCACATCGGTGCTGCTGAGCTCTGAGGAGGGTGTCGGCAGCCTGTGATCTGACCCGGAGCTGAATGTCACGCTTCATAAAGCAGACCTGGACGGGGAGGTGGGGGGTCTCTGCGGGAGGGTGTGGAAATCCGCTTTGAAGCAGGGGGACGTAACGCAGCACGCGGAGGCGGAAACGCGTCCACTCACCAGCCATTTTCAGCCGTTCGAACTCCAAATGACCACAAATGAACTCCCATTTCCTATGATACCCACGACTGGAATGTGTGTAATCCCTCTCTGTCAACATCTCTTCAAGTTCTCATCGGGTCAGCCAATCGGCGGCCGTCTCTCAATGATGCGTTTCCTCCACCCTTGGATATTTCCTGTGTATAAACACTGTACACACTATAACAGTTCCACACAATGCCAAAGTCAAGTGGAGTTTTCTTTAGAATAATTAGAGGAAAAACAAGTATTTGGAGACGGGTTTACGTCTCCATGCCGTAAACCCGCTAAATGCTGGTGTCCAGGGGGGGCCGGGAGGTCAGTCATCTCAGCTGACCGCGCAGCAGCAAACGCACCACGGCTCAGCTCCCAAACGGACAGTAAACTCTGGCGTTTCCACGTTAGCGGACACGAGTGGAACTGCCCTTTCCTATTGGAGAGGAAGGTGCTCTCAGCTGGGGAAGCACCTGACGGTCTCCCACGGTTACAGTCGGCCCGCCAACGGCCGCAGTGGCTCCCGCCCGGAGTTTCCTTTCCGTTCCTATAATTAACCCATCGAACCAGCTGACTCATCCTCTCTCTGGGCAGTAGAAAATAACACGGAAACCCCTTATTCTTTCTGCCTCTGTCTGAGATGAAACCAGACCCAATTTCCCTTACCTTTTTTGGCTTTTTTCCCCCCCTTCTGTTTGTAAAACATCCGGTTAAAGCACTCGGGTCTGGGCAGTGCGGTCAGTTGGAATAAAACCCAGTTTGATGATGAAATCTTAATGCAACCGGCCCAGTCTTCAGTCTCAAACGGCCGGCCAGAGAGGCGTCAGCTCCCCGCTGCGCGGCCCGGAGTGTCGGAGTGCCCGGTAATGCGGGCGTGAGGTCAAAGGCCCTCAAAATAAGGCCTGTTTGTTTGCGCGTTTGTTGTTGTGTATGCCTCCACCTCCGGCCGGCTAAATGAGGCTGCTGTCGCTGGCCGGGCGGCGGCCGGGCGGCGGCCTGACTCACGCTCCCCCTGACAGGCGCACAAATGTGGAGAGAAACAAAAACAAAGACACTGAAATGCCAGTCTTTGGCAAAATGCTCCCAATCGCACGACTTAGTGGAACGTGAGTATTCGGATGAAAGTCAGCACGGACTTAACCCTATAATGCCAAATGTATCAAATATGATACATTTGGCATTATATGGCATACGGTTTCTGAGGTCTTTTGGATCTGAGACTTTTTGCATCATTCAACGGTAAAAGCTTTGCTCAAACCCCTGTTGTACACATTCAGATATACCTGATAACAGCGGGTAGAAGACTACACGAAAATATATTTTTGACTTTTTGCACGCTAATTTGATCAAAATAATTTCAGTTTTTTTTTCTTCATATGTTGTTGAGGGGCCAAAGAAAGACTTCAGACTGAAAAAATCCAATATTCTTCCTATTTTTCTTGGATCAGGCTTTAAAGGGTTAAAAAAGAAAGAAAACCACAACCTTAATTTTTCATGTAAACTCTTCAACACTTGAAGCAACACAAACGATAGCTGACAAATAAAAAAAAAACTGAGGATTAAACCAAGTTTTATAGCAGTTATTAGTCTATCAGCTCGGGGTTTCTCAGAATATCTGGAGGCCTTAAAAGGCCACCGGGAAAACGCACACCAACGCTTCTTCGTGTGTCCGCGCACGGAGAATTGCTCTTTGTTGTCTTTCACTTAGAGCGTCATCAAAATGATCAAATCAGTGAGGCCGGAGGAGAACAAAAATAAAAAACACTAGAAAGTCTGCGACACCCCGCTGACATCAGCGAGGTGACCAGAGCCAGCAATGACCTCTCCCAGGTCCAGCCCTCACCTCACCTGTCTGCGGGGCGGTTAAGGGTCAACAAACACGGGTTTCTTGACGCCACATGATGCCCGAATGCCGACAGATTCAAACCAGGCGCCTGTTTTCAGGCTCACGCCCTCCTCCAGCGCATTACGCGAGGCGGGTTTTGTTATTCCTTCTGGTCTCAGTCCACACCGACTGTTGATGTTTGATAGAGTTTTTTGCATAACCGCTCGCGTCGGGAGGAGTTATAAAAGAAATAATTTTTATCGTCACGCAGCGACCAGAGCCAGGTTTGAGTCATGCCGAGAGGTGAGAACACCAACGTTTTCCACTCCAACGTTTGGCACTAAAAAGAACCAGAAGCGGCTTGTTTTTTAGGCAAATGCGGACGCGCGCAAAGGCGTAGTTGCTCTAAATTTGATGCCTCTCTGTTTCAGATTACAACAGCAGCGACCAGAAGACGGCGTGCAGAAGACACGAGCTGTACGTCAGCTTTCGGGAGCTGGGCTGGCAGGTAAGCTCCCATTTCTAACAGTTTTCTGCAAACCCGCCTAAGCATTCAGACCGTTTCCAGCTTTCATGGGGAGCTGCTTTTCCCCCCCAGTCGGCTCCAGCTGATGCGCGTTGTGGATGCTGCTGTGCTGCAGACATGAAAGGCAAACCTCCAAATGTTCCCCGCTGCTTCATGTAGCCCAGGGAATTCTATTCCAGGGTCAAGAAACCGCGACCAAACACGGATCAGCCTGCCGTTCACAAATGTACAGGATAGAAGGATAGAATACTTTTTTAGCTCACCTTTTTAAAGATTGTTATCTCTCCGCTGTGTGTCTTTAAGCAGGTGCTTTATCGGTATGTTCCTACATGTGTGTTCTGATGAAATCGCTGACCAGCAAGAGTTAAAAGAGAAAGTTTTGACTTTTTATGAGGTTTGTGACTCAGCCTGACGTGCAATCAGGTCATCCATTGCCTTTTCAGCAGAAGTAGACTTTTGAAAATTAAACAGACATGGACGTCGAGGCTCCGTTGATCGTACCGACAGAGTCCGCTGCTGTTGGAATAAGAAAGAGAGCAAGAGATGGGATCGAGGGGCAGATCGGTGGTGCCTCACCGTGTTTACACTGTCCATGGTCAAACACGGTGGTGGCAGCGCCGTCCTATGGGGACATTTCATTGTGACGGGCGGAGGGACAGAAGTGAAGACACACAGAAAGCTGGATGAATGTGGAGGAATCCTGTGAGAAGACAAACTCCCCCTCTGAGAAGACCTGAAACGCTTCAAACAGGGCTTGATTTTAACTTTGAATACTAAGTTTAATGTTGATAAAGAAAGAAAACAGCTCCAGCTTTACTGAGGGAAGATAAAGGCCTGAATTTGCTTAGAGGTTTCCTCTGAAACATGACGGAAAGTGGAGAAATTGGGAGATTCTGAAAATATTCGGTATAAAAGCTGCGATTGAGCTTTTTATTCTCGGCTGGAAACAAGATTACATGCAAAAAACTAAATTAAATCGTTCAAAGAAAGACACACAACTTGATAGTTTATAGACGGATCGTCACCCGTGAAGGCCAATGTCAACCCTCACCCTGACCTCAACATTATCCCTGACCCTTCAGACTGTATGTGTAAAGTCATCGTAAAAAAAATTGAAAAAACGCTGAAATAAGCAAAAAACAAACATGAGAGCAAAGTCAGAATGAGGCGAATCACGCCGATGGTTTTGTTAGAGGGAAGCGGTCGAACGCAGAAAGGGAGGAAGGCTTAGTACCCCCTGCTCCCCGTTAGGACACAGACTAAAGAGTCCCGCTGTCCTCTGTGCCCCCCAGGACTGGATCATCGCGCCCGAGGGCTACGCCGCCAACTACTGTGACGGAGAGTGTTCCTTCCCCCTGAACGCCCACATGAACGCCACCAACCACGCCATCGTGCAGACGCTGGTAAGGCAACGCCGTAGCAACCACACTCCCACTCCCCGATCGCGTCTGTTTTCTGGACGCGACGCAGGAGAGGCCAGCGAGGGGTTTAACCTGTGATTAGCGCTAATGAACGTATGGCGGCCATATTTGTAATGAGGAAATAGAGATGGGGTATAAACTTTATGGGTATTTGTGGGTTATGGAGTTGACTCAAAGTCTGGATGTGTTCGTTGGAACACCTGTCTGAGCACACAAAGCACTCCAGCCCACCTTTTTTTTGTGTTTTTCTCTCTTTCAGGTGCACCTGATGAACCCCGAGAATGTCCCCAAGCCCTGCTGCGCCCCCACCAAGCTCCACGCCATCTCCGTGCTCTACTTCGACGACAACTCCAACGTCATCCTGAAGAAGTACAAGAACATGGTGGTGCGCGCCTGCGGCTGCCACTGACCACCGCCCCCGGCCTTAAAGGGACGTCCGCCCCGAGAGAGAGACGGTGGGTGGGGGGCTTTCACAGTAATCACGGACAGCTCGGAAAATTCCACCCGCTGGTGTCGCTCAAAGGGCAAAACGAAGAGGAGACCGGTACAGAAACGACAGCCTCCACGGGCAGCTTCAGCCCCCCCGTCCGCCTTCACTGTCTGGGTCCGCCACCGGGTCCAGGACTGCACGTGCGTGCATGTGGAGAGGAGCGTGTGTTAAGATTGTGTAGTATCTGTTTGTTTAAGTGTGTGTAAAGTCCTTAACGGGCCTACTGGACCTACCCCTCACTGAGAGAGGTGTCAAGGGGGGGGGGGTTGCTAAACTGAACTGTTGTGGGACCAGTCAGAACGCTGCTTTCCTTCCCGTCTCCTCTCGGATAAAAAGAAAAAGTGGCTCAGCTCTAATAGGAAGTTCAAATACTGATGAAAACCTTCTCTGAGGCCCGCTCAGTAACTCGCTCACACGACAGGAGAATTCATCATTTCTGGCCCCATTGGAACAAACGAGTCCTTTTCTTAGTGAAAAAATATTCATTTTAACTATCTAACACCAGCTGAGTGAGACATTGGACTCCGTACGTTCGTATTTCCTTCCTCGTTTTTCTACTGTATTTTCTCCTTAAGCCATATTTGCTCTCCCTAAATATAATCCGGACTCAAACCAAAGCGACCGCAGGGCTATTTCAGCAGCGCACTGCCCCGAATAATCCGCTCCGTGTCAATATTTGCCCGGCTCAGGCAGAGCTGCGATGGACTGGGCCGGTTCAGCGTGATGCATGTTGTGGCTCCACTTCTGTTTTCCTCCAAAGAAGCGAAGAATAGGGCCCTATCCCCCCGACCGGCCGCAAACGTCCATTTCCATGTTGCTGCTCTCGCTGAGCTAACAAACTATTCCACCCATGACAGCCCGTCAAGAGATTGAGGAAAAACACGCAGTGAAAAGAAAAAAAAAAAAAAAAAACAGGCCGGCAGGACGCGTTTTCTGAAATTAGCCCCTCTGCTTTTTCAGCCCCAAGGGGGAAATTATGAGATTTGTGTCCAGTCTTTCCAGCCCGAGCACGTTACTGTGAGCCTCCAATGATGTGGAATTTCTGCCTTTTTTTTTTAAAAGAGAATATATTTGAATGACTAACTAATACCCATAACGATCAAAATACCTTACGTGCCTAACCGATCATAAATTACAAAATATACCTCTGGTAAGCTGCTGTTTACATTTGTGATCATGTTTAAACTGTTTTTTTGTAAATACCTGTACATTCCCAGCTTATTTATTGCACCTTTTATTAAAAACAAAAAGGAAAAAAGATCACTTTATTACTTTAACAGCCACATGTGAGGATGGAATGAACAAAAAGAGACTTGTTTTTGTAAAGTTTATTACGAAATCTCATCTTCCAACTTGCCATTATTCACTTTTTGTACAAAACAAATCTGTGGCTAGTGCACAAGCCAGGAAACCACAAAGAGCAAAAAGAAGAAAAAACAACAAACTTGTGTCACTGGAGTTCCTTAGACCTTGTGCTATACATAAAAAAAATTGATTGACTGAAAAAAAAAAAAAAAAGAAGTAAAAACCTGCTGTGTGTTTGTGTACCTGGGCCGCACAATAAAGACTGACCTGCATCACACAACCCACGTTTTTCCACATTACCTGGGTCAAAGAGCATCTGCACTGGAACAGTTTATTACACCGGGGTTTGTTAAGCCAAAGACAAAAAAAAAAAAGAATGTTTTCAGCTTTTCTGGTTCTTTAAAAAAATTACTTTAATTGGTGGTTTAACTCTGCTTTTCCAAACCCCTCTGACTTAGAACAGTTTAAATTGTAACCATAACACCACCTATGGAGCCTTCCAGTTGTTTCAAGTGCTTACAGAAGTTCATCTTACAGACAGGAGGTTCTGCGGGGACCAAAACCACCCACAGATGAATTAGTTACAATCAGATCCAAACATCTTAAATGATAGGTCACCCAACTAACACACGACGCCCGCTGACTTGTCGACTGCTTCCAAAATGTATTCATCAAAGCTCAGCTTTACAGACACAGCTTTTCCAAATGAGCAAAGTGCATTTTGATGACCCCCCCCCTCTCCTAACAGGGGCAGCACAACATCCGAGCAAGTTGTGGCAGCACGGTCCAGGCCTGAGTGTTAAGAAAAAAGAAAAACAAACAAAAACAATCACAGAGCAGGACCCCCCCCCCCGAATCCCGGAGGTCAGAGGCCACTCTGACTGTTGACTCAAATAAATGAGCAGAGATGGTTTTCGTCTGTCGGCGAGCCGTGGTGGGACTCGGGCGATAGACCCGAGTCAGCGTGGGAGTTTCCCTGAGAGTTAAGTCAGATAGGCCACAGGACACGACGAGCTCGCAACTTAACACTCGCGCGTTTTCAGGTGTGATCATACCTCGCATTTCAACATCGGATCTAATGTAGAAAAGTCAAATGGCTTTTTTTTTTTTTTTTTTTTAAACATGCAGAAACTTTAGCGCCGGCCTTTTAAATCGCCATAATTGTGCGCCGAGAGTTTGGTTATCGCTTAGGAGCTTTGCAGTGGTTTTCAAAACGCTCAGTGACGTGCTGAACTGGGGAAGAGGAGGGGATGGTGGGTGGGGGGGGTTCCAGAAATACATTCACATTAAGAACGCTGGGCTGTGGAGTCCCTGGAACGCAGGAGTGTAACAAACTGTTGAGCCTGCTGCTGGATGTCTTCTTTCTGAAGAGAGATTGATGCGGCCGCCGGCGTCCCGCCGGCCGGATGTGCGGCGGTGGGGGGCGGGGGGGTCGCAGGCCCGGCCTGCGTCCTACAGCTCGTCTCTGGCCTGCCTCATCACAAAGTTGTGCAGGCTCTCCAGGTCCCGCCCACCGTGGTGCTCGTCGCCCTGCTGGCCGGCTCTGAACATGATGAGGGTGGGGTAGCCGCGCACCTGGGGACACAGCAGCAGACCCTTAGAGCTTCACGCCGGACATGGGACCCCCCCCAATCGAGAGCGTTCCCCAAATAACAGGAGAGGAGGACTGACATGGCAGTTGTGCTATGGGAGGAGCTTAAAACTTTTTTGAGGAGCTGCTCGCATTTTTTGTCTTGAAGCTTTGTCCCTGGTGCTTTCAGAGCTACTTCTGCCTGCGTGTGAGGGGTTCAGGGACGTCAGTAAACGCCAAGGTTTAGCTGAGCCGCCTCTGGCTTCACTGGGATTCTGACGCCACCTCAACATGTCAGCGGCTGTGGAACGCCGGCTCGGAGCTCCTGCCGGCGTCCTGTCCAGCGTCTAATTAAGGTGCGCGGCGGCCCCTCGTCGCTTTACGGCGGGGAAATAAATCCTCCGCGTGGTTTTATTAGACGCAGTATAACACGGTTTATCGTGTGGAAAGGAGAGGAGGAGGAGGGGGACAGGAGTCGGAGTCAGAGGGCGGCGTGACGTGAGCGGTTTTATGGGGCCGGAGGGGGGGATACTCACAGAGAACTTGTTGCAGAGCGTGCGCTCCACGGTGCAGTCCACTTTGGCTATTTTGACGTCGGTCAGACCGGGAAACTCCTTGGAGGAGAGGTCCTCCCACGTTGGGGCCAGATTCTTGCAGTGGCCGCACCTGCGTGGTCACCAAGAGGGGGCATTAGGTCGGGAAAGGCTCTCAAGGCACAGAAATTAACGAGGGAGGCGTGGTTTACAGGAAAACTTCTTTTTTTTTTTGGGTTATTTGTTATGGAGGATCTTACCACGGAGCGTAGAATTTGATGAAGGTGAACCCCGTGGCCACGCTCTCCTCAAAGTTGCTCTCGGTCAGGACCAACACGCTGGACTGCAGACAGAGAGGGAATCGCACACTTTAAACTAGCCACACAGAGGCCTTTTTATCAGACTGGACACGCGTGCGTCGAGCACACACACACACAAAGAGACACACGCTCACACACACACACACACACACACACACACACACACACCTTTGTTTCCTCTTTGGCCGGCTCTTCGGTCGGGATCTCGTCTGTTTTTTGTTCCTCGTTTGGCTCCTGCTCTTCCTCCTGGGTGAGCGCAACCTTCAGCTGAGTGTCCACAAAGTCCTTAAAAGAGTCCAAGTCTCTCTTTCCTCTGTACTGCTCCGTCTGCAAAACAGAAACATTTAAAAACGGCCGCTGGGTGCCTGGTTTCTGTGGCGGTGGGGCGTTCGGGGCTGGACGGGATACCTTCTGGCCGTTGTGGAAGAAGAGCAGCGTGGGGTATCCGCGCACGCCGTTCTCCGAGCACACCTCGTAGTGCTGCGTGCAGTCCACCTGCAGCAGAAGCAGACGGGCGCCGTTATTACGCTGGAACGCCATCTGTGCGCACACACTGCCCCCCCCTCCCCCCCCAGCTGTTCCACAGCCCGGTATGCAAACATGGGACTAGTCTCATGTTCCACATCCTATTCTGTCAGGCCGGTTTCAGGATGCCAGCACCAACGCTGCAGCGCACAAATAGCCCCGACGCGACACGTGCACGCCACCGATAGACATGCAGCACGCCAACAGAAGTTAAACGTAAAGAATCTTTTTTTAAAAGGTTGCGCATGAGCACATTTACGCGCCGAGACGCCCACCTTTCCAATCTTTACGTCGTCCGAGTGCTCAAAGCTGTTGGCCAGCTGCTCCCAGGTGGGCGCCATGGCTTTGCAGTGGCCACACCAGGGGGCGAAGAACTTCACAAAATGAGCACCTGAACAGAGGGGGGAGAAATTAAAAAGTGATGAGCACAGAAAATGAAAAGACTTTCTGCCAGTTTAAATGCACGCAGTGGTGTCAGATTATCCATCCATCCATTATCAATACCGCTTATTCCCTGTTGGGGTCGCGGGGGTGTCAGATTATATATATTATATATATATTATTATTATAACACACTCGGCGAAGTTGATACTGGAAATGAAGGCAGGTGTCTCTGGCATTACGTTAAGCCGGGCACACACTGGGCGATTTCTGCCCCTTTTTGAGACGATTTTTCACTTGTGCGAGAATTTATTGGATCGGGCCGAGTTTCAGCTTGCTCGTGCGTCTCACATTGTGTAGTACACACAGGTAAGGAGAAGCGATTAACCTCTCGCGACCACCTCCCAATCAACAACTGAATGGTCGGATGAAAATCAAACCGGTTTGAAATTCTGCTCGGCCCTTGTGAGATCGCATAGGAGCATCGAGCCGTGTAGTGGGAGAACATAAATCGTGAGCTGCGAGCTTTTACAGCCTGCGATTTTGTCGTGCAGTCTGAGCTGGAGCCAAGTGCAACGATTGGAAATAATCGCGCTGTGTAAGCCCAGCTTTACTGGAACGCGTCGTTTCAGAAGACGCAAGGGTTGGAACATATAAACACCGCCTTTAAACAGCCGTCACATCCCGCCCTTCTTTCACCTCCAAACAAGAAATGGGTTATTTTTCTTCAAAAGCAAAATATTCCACTCCCGAGAGCTGTAATTTCGCTTCCACTGTGATCCCGACGGACGTTTGTTTTCATGCTCGCCCTGCGCCGGTCCGGAGAGGCGAGCTGACGGGACACGAGGGCTTCACAGCCGGCTGCTGCTGACCCAACCGGAGGGACAGTGTGAGACGACGGTTATGCAAATCAAAGCGACGAGGTGTTTCCATTCTCTAATGGCCGACGCAGAAAGACTGCTTGAAAACCGAGAGAGCCTTCAAAAACGCGAGCGAAACAGAAACTGAACCCATCTGTCACGGCAGGATGCAGCTGTGCAAACCAGTGTGTGTCTGTGTGGGGGGGGGGGTCGCTCAGCCGGCTTCTCCTTACCTTTGGAGACGTGGTCCTTAAAGTTCAGGGCAGTGAGCTCGTACATGCCCTGTTTGGGCTCAGGGGCTTTGGGGGGTTCCATTTCGACCTCCGGTTCCTTTGTAAGGGGGGGGACGACAACAACAACACAGAGTGTGAGCAGCCTTTCTGCCTCATCAGCACCACCCGTCTGCCCACTCAGGGACCCGGCACTCACAGAGGGATCCTCCTGCAGCGTCTTCAGCATCCACGTCTCCAGGGAGTTCAGGTCCCTGGGACCCTGGTACTTGACCGCTTCCTGGTCGGGCCTGAACAACTTCAGCCTGCATGTGATGAAAGAAAAAAAAAAAACGCAAAAGGTTTTCAACTTTGACTGGGATTTGTGACACGGGGGGAGTTAAAGTCTACCGTCCGTCCGGGCACGATGACTCAGCAGCCTCTAGGTAATGATTTACAGAACGTCTGTGCTTTCACAGCTGAATAACGCTGCACCTGCAGGTGAAGCCTCAAGTCAGCAACATCCAAGCATTTAGGAGGCCCCATCGCGGAGATACCAGAAGAATAGCTAACTAAATGCAGGTCTATGTGTCACACCCGCCGATCAGTAAAGAAAGAAATGTGCGACAGTGAGTGCTGCCTTCAGGTTACAGTCATGTCCTGAATGTGGGCCGACAAGTTGAGGGTGCACACAGGTGTGTGGTACGATATACAAAATAAGCACATTGACTTTTAATATTTTCATAAAGATCATTTGGAGAGGATGACCAAAGAGGAATAGGATTCCCTTGTATGGCGTGTATTAAAAAACTAAATCTGTCCTAATATTTCCAGATGTGACAGGAGGTCTGCAATGTAAACTAACCGAAATGTCAAAGGAATCGCACCGAAACCGATGTGCCCGAAGACGGACGCTGCGGGTTTGTGAGAGCCTCACACTTACGTGGGGTAACCTCTGACGCCGTGATTGTTGGAGCAGAACTTTGTGTCCTGGACGCAGTCGACTTTCACCACGTATATCGGGGGGTCGTCCATGCTGTTGTACTTGTCCGCCAGCTCATTCCACGCTGGCTGCAGTCGCTGACAGTGGCCACACCTGCACACATTTTCAGGGTTCAATGACAAAAACAAAACAAAAAAACATTGTGAGATTGCTGTGTGCATCTCTTAATTCAAAGTAAACTGTATATGCATCATCACATCTTGAAAGTCTCGACTCATAAATGTCAAAGAACACATTATGGCTTATTTTATAGAGCTCAAGAAGTAAGAAGCAGGAGGCAGGTCAAAAGAGAGGGGGGGGGCACCATAAAGTACTGTGACATTCAAAACAAAGACATAATTCGAGAAAGACAAGGGAGCAGTATTAAATGTAGGGGTTAGGCTCCAAGACATTTTATTTTCTGACAAGATCTTATAACAGGGCGATCAGATATGGTCCGGTTCTGCATGACATCAACCAGGACCTCCGGAGGTCTGTGAATCCCAGTTTTGAAACCACCGCCTGCACTCAATCAGTGCGTGCCACGTAAGCACAGCTTCCAAGTCCATAACTTTGAATTGCTACTAACTATTTGTCCTCTCCAACTTAGACCGACGGGCTGTATAATGCAGACGATTCAACCTTTGCTTGACTTTCGTTAAATTTTCGAATAGCGGACAACACGAGAAAAAGTGTGAACACGTCAAGCATCAAAGCTTAAGTACGTAAAGTGCTCCAATCCGTTAAGCTGCCGTTTGGCTAAAGCTAGTTAGCCGCTAAGCTAACGGCACCGGTTCTCCGACACGATAAATGAGGTGGTCGGCTAGCTTGCAAGCTAACTAGCTTGTATGCTAATTTACCGGTAAACTGACTCTGCAGCAGGCGGGGGGGTTTTCCGTTTTCTGACTTTGTCAAGGCACACTAAACATGAACAGAAGTTATCGTTATGCATTTAATTTACCGTGAACAAGAAGAACTTGGTAACTCTACACTTACCAAGGAGCGTAGAACATGACAAAGTGGGGAGCAGTGGGTATCGCATCGTTGAACATATCCACTGTGTACGTGTGCTTGGCATGGTCGTCTTCATCCGCGTCGTCGTCGCAAAACACACCGGCAAAGAGCAGCGACAGAGAGACGAAATACAGCACAAAAGGGGAGAAATTCAGTGCAGAAGCCATGGTGAATCTCAGTAGGCTGTGTGGAAGGCGTCCCTCTTGGAGAGAAAGGACCGACTTCCAGCGAGCACGCCCCCTCGCAGCGTCTGTTTAAAGGAATGTGGAATCTGGATGGGACGCCGGCGGAGGGAGCTCGCGGAGGGGCGCGCGCACGGTGTCACAACCGCTTTCAACGTGACAGTGCAATGTGAGATTTTCTCTTGGGGGGGACAAAGCCCTATTTGCCTAAATTTGCACCCTCTCGGGTAAACAAATACGCAAACGAGAATGCATTGGATCCATCAGTTCATCACGGAAGCCTAAAGAGGACAAACAAAAGCAACATGAAAATAATAATCTTTGGTTAATAAGTTAATTATCTCTTATCTTGAAATAACTAATCTTTATTTATTGGAACAAGAGGCAATCAGCTCATTATCTGCAGATTACAAAGTTTGTTTTCTCAAGATAGCTGATTAATATGTTTTGGTAAAGTTAAGTCTGAACATCACAAACAGCTGGATGGCCTTAGGTGGGCCTCTGTGGACAACTCCCATCATCAGGCTGTCTATGATCAAGAGCTGACATTTAACCAGCGCTGTGCCAGCAAACAGAATTACACTGGTCTGCTTCATATTATGCCATAAACACAACTAAAATAGGTGCGTACACCCACCAACATTCATTCTGGTTATTAAAAAAAAAGGAACATTCATTGTGTATGTCTGGTAAAACTCTGATTTTGTTGTCCAGCCCCCAGAAAATGGCTTTTGAAATACTGACATTCCTTTAACTCTGGTACTGTAAGATATAAAAAAAGAGAAAAAACCCCAATACTGGTCAACAAATGGCCCAGTAAGTTATAGTCGACTGTGCTGCCTTGGCAGGCGGTGTAAGTTTCCTTCACACCAAAGTCTGCCTCTTGAGAATGAACTCGCCCCTCTCATAATACCTGAAGGTGTAAATTTATTGAGACATCCATTAGATGATGATATACTTTTAAAAAAGAGACTCTTGATTAAAAGAGCAGACAGTCAACATTTTTTCTTTACCTGTAAAAAATAAGGTCAGCAGACCTCCGGTGGGCCATCACCGCTGTTTAAAGGAGACAGATGGACTGGGGGTTTTCCACACCGATGGTCAACTCTGTGTCAGAGTTGCCATTTTCATCATCTCTGCACACGAATCAGACGCATTTCACCGGATAAATTGCGTGTCTTGTTGTGGCTGACGCCTCATGGAAGGAGGGATTTATTTGTGTCTGTTCCCAGTGCCTGCCGAATTCACCACTCTTTGGAAAGCCTTCTCTTTTTTTTTCTTTTTTTTCAGTATAGTCATGACTTCATCCAAATAAATGGAGACAGCCTTCAAATGAAAATGTGCTTGTCTTTAATCAGCCCCCTTTTTTGTGTGTTTTTTAGTTGGACAACAGGAAAAGCGTGGAGAGGAACAGCTTACAGCATGGAAAGAGAGAGATTAGTTGCCTCCTGAGCGATGGCATTCTATTTAAAGTTAATGTGAACTGTCAGTAAAAAAAAAAAAGGACAACTTTTCTTTTGAGTGTGTTAAAATGAATGAACTGACTTGGATGTCCATGGTGTGTGGTTCAACACTAAAACCTCTTAGAGTCACAGTTCTGCCCACGGGGAACTCATCCATTCAAAAGAGAGGTGATCTACTGAGCAGAGACTCCCTTCCTGAGATAGATTATTCTGGTTTGACCTGCAAAAGACCATCTTCCACCTCCGGCTGGAAAAATCCCAAAATATTTATCTTTTGGGGAAGCTTCAGGAAATGTGGCCTTACTTGCACTTAAATCCAAAGTCTGCAGACACCTTGATTCTTTTGAAAACATCAAGTGGGACAAAGAGCTTATTGTTGGCTTTGACATAGCAGCTCAACGTACGAGGAAAACAATACAGCATGTTTTGGTATGATCAAGCCCCAGAAATAGGGGCTTTGCCCATGTTAGCCAAAAGACTGAAGGAATTGTCCAACATCTGGCCTGTATTTGTTAACTAAGCGTACATTTTGTTAACTAGGAGCTAAAATAGAGGTGGGAAAGCAGGTAACACTTTAAAGATGAACAAACATTTGATGGAATCGTAGAGGCTTCGGCTTTTTTTCCCCTTCATAGACACTGAATTGTTGTTAGGCCCACTTCTACAGGTAGAAGTGTGTAAGAGTTGAATTCTTGAAAGTGTTTTACGGTATAGTGGCACAAGAAAGAGACAAAGGACACTCACCCACACTGTGAGTGGCCTAGTTGCTTGACGCATGCCTTAGTCTTACAGCTCAGGAATAAGAGGAACTTAACTGTTTCTGGAAAAAAGTGTTCAATACCAATCAAATGCCCATGTTTTTTCTATGACATTGTGAATGAAAACAAAACAGTGTCACAGCCTCCACAGTCCAATTTCTCCCTCACACATATTCACACACCAATGGAAACACTGTGTCGGCCAACCGTCCTCCTAAGCGACAGCTGCCCATGGAAAGGAAACAACAACAGACACCTTTCTGATATAAGATTAACTAAGTAACAAAAATGTTTTAGTTACATTACATTTATTGAAAAGCACATCGGACTCAAAAGTGTAAGACTTGGATTCGGGAACTGACTCAGTGATTCAATAGAAAGACGTCAGACTTGGAAAAATAATTACTTCACCTTAACTTCTAAAAAAGGACAAACTAAAAGATCCCTTTACTTTATTCCTCTCACTTTGAACCCTGACCCTGTTGGCAAAAAGAGCTCTCATCCCCTAAATTCTACTCAATCTGCCTTGACACCCAGTATTTGACAGTCCATTCTTGACAAGGTGAAAAATTACTTGCGATTATTCACTCTCATTTTTTGCATACGATAAACAGTTGTACATAACTCTGAGCCCACTCAAAGGGCTCTATTGTTAACATGGCAAAACCACATCCACAGACGTCCATTTAATCTTTACATGTCGCATAGCTGCGGTAAGTATGACCAAATTGTTCCTGACATATTTCACATTTGGCCTCTTGAACTGGAGGCCACATAGTTGTGGGTGTCTACATGTTGCCCATTGTTGATAGCCAGGCACTTTGCCAGGCCAGCTCCAGCATGGTGTAATAGGAAAAAGAATGATGAATGGACTCTGGGGACCAGAAGACATTCTGTTTGTTTTCTTAATTGCCTGAACTTAGCGGCTAAGAGTGTGAGAGTCAGCTGGCGGCAAACTGGGTGAACTGAGAGACAGCAAACGACGGAGGTGGTGTTCTACGCATGCGTTTGTGAATCCAAAACCAGTCTTTCCCAAAGTTCTATGTTTGTCTAGGCCTTTAAATTCTCACAATGCACAAAATTTAAAAGGCAGAGTGCTAAATCCTTTTTTTCCCCAATGGGAAATGGTCTGTAAAATGCCTCCAGCGCTTTGAAAGAGCTTTTGTAAACATGAGAAGGATAAGAAGTACACAAACAATATGGGTTATGTCCATGTATCCTCGTTAACATCATTAAAGTATTAAGATTAAGTATTGAGATGTTACTTAACCCTGTAATGCCAAACGTATCATATTTGATACATAAGGTTTCTGAAATGTTTTGCGTCTGACACCTTTTGCATAATTTAATGGTGAAAACTTTGCTCAAAATCCTATTGTACACAATCAGATACACCTGATAACAGGGGGCAGAAGACTACACAAAAAACTATCTTGACCTATCGCATAGTAATACATTTTTAATACTAAAAATGTATTTTTGTTTTTTCTTTTTACATATTTTGTTAAAAGGCCAAATATAGACTTAAAACAAAAAAAAAAAAGTAAGTTTCTGTTTTGTTTTATTCTTGGATTGGGCTTTAAAGGGTTAAAGGGAAATGACAACCAAGATTGATCGTTCGCTACAGAGGTAGCCACACCCAGCTTGGATGATTTGCCAGATTTAGCTTAAAGCGGAAAGATTGGAAAACTTTCCCCCTTATTTTAATTTGACACATAACCAAACGCCTGTTTAAAATGACGTAAATCATTGCCTCTGAACTGTGGATGTATGTTGTGACATAGGGAGATTTTTACTTGGGCATGGCAGAAAACTTTGGATCCCCTCCCGGCATTCTATTTGTACCCGTGATATCACCCACACTTAACGCTCATCTCACTTTGCCTTCCCATTTTCTTGTTTCTCCCAGAAAACCTTTGAAATGTTTTTCTCTGTCATCTTTAAACCCCCTTTTTTCTTCTTTTTTTTCATTGCCAAGGAACCTTTTAGATGACTTTGTGGAGTATTTCAGAGCTATTTCTGACCAACTCTAATTCTGTCATTTAAACATCTGGGAATTATCTTTTTGGACACCCAGTGTATCTGTAGAAATGCTTTATGCACCGTCTTCCCACTACTGAACATCGTGCAGTCCAAAGCCAGGAGTGTTTCCATTAGGAACACAAGACTCATGGCCGTATCATATCCGGGACACAGGATGTGACCAACAGAGGGGAACCAATTTCATTTCCAGACGGCTTACTAAAACCATTGCCGAATGCACCTGTGCTGGGAAAAATGATGGGAAAGGGCTTACCCAATTGATTGAATAACTCCCTGAAAAAAAAAACCCATGGAAGCCTGGAAATCAAAGAGAAAGAACAGAGTGGGTGAAAGAAAGAAGTAAGAAAGAGCTAACAACACGGATGGAGAAACAGGGGAAATGTTGTGGTGCTTTTCGACTGCCATGACAACTGCCTCTTATTCCAAATACTTTTCTTTTCGACTGCTCAAAAGCAGATGAGTCACTCCAGGCCTCGTAAGGAACTAAAGTATGGAAAAAGTGACCATCCGCAAGCTTGAGCACCTGGTTGACTTATTACTTTAGAGAAGCAAAATGCAGACAATGTAAAGACAGAGATAGGCATTAATAGCAGAAATGGCAAGAGTGTATTTGATATCAAGACTAGGTTAGAAGTTACATGGCAGATATGGCAAAAATTAGATCTGGGACACAAGAAAAATCTATACAAGAAAGCATGTATTTATCTTACACCCATTCAGACATAATGAAGGGAGGATTACTCTGTATCCAGCCAATGCTGGACCATAGTCTGCGATGGTCAGAACTTTCCAAGATGATAGAGTTTGTCTTATTTTCATCTGAAGTGTGGACATTCTCCCCACACAGGAGGACTGACAGAAACCTGCGGGCTACTTCACAATTTTTTGCGAAATCTTTAAATCTCTTTCATTGGCAATTTCTCCTTGTCAGTTTCAGAGACTTCCTGTGAGACAGGTCTGGTAAACATGTGTTTCTGTACAGACGACTCTTGTAGCTCTCGCAACTGGGTACCGGGTTCCCATCACTGCCGACTGGAGCCAGAGCTGATAAAGAAATAGCACTAAATACGTT